CCCCGTCACACCAAACACGCTCGTTCTTTCACTCGTGGGGGCGTGATATTGTGACGGTCAATCCCACTATTCGTTGGTAAAAGAGTAGCCCAAGAGTTGGTGGTGCGCGATGATGACTAGCTACCTTCCCTCTATTTTTACACTGCTAAATTAGGGACGGCTAGTGAAGACAGCCCTTGTGTAGCTTTGCGCGAAATTCAAAAACCAAACAAACAAAGATGAGTAGATGTTAGAATTGTGGATTTTAATGAACAAGTCCAAGTTTCATGATCACCTGAATTAACAATATGTGAGTTTTTAACTCATTGTTGAAGAACGGTGACTTGTAGTTATCTTTTATGGATACCAAAGTTATTAACTATGGCATATGCTTTCGAATTGATTGTTTTTGCAAGATACCTCTTTCTCGATTATACTCGCATTTTAAGAGTATTTGTATTTGATATTAGGGGTTCTGGGGAGAAATCTGTAACAATACCAACACTACGTGTGCCAGTAGCCCTTGTAAGAATGGAGGACAGTGTCGACAGCATCGTGGTGGATACAGCTGTATTTGTCTTCAGGGGACAACTGGAAAGTATTGTGACATCGACATCTATGATGAATGTGAATCTTCACCATGCTTGAACAGAGGAGAATGTATTAACAAAATTGGTAGGTTGGTTATGTATTGACAAGATTAGTTGTTAGTTAATGTGTTGACAAGATTGATAGGTTGGTCATGTATTGACAAGATTAGTTGTTAGTTAATGTGTTGATACTCCATTTGATGAAAAGAGTCCATGGTCCAACATTTAACATTTCTGTAACCATGAGTTTTCCATCACCTTATGTAGACCAAGTCTTTATGAACCATTTTTATACCTGTAGGAGTTGCCATCTCGTTTTTTAGACTAGCGTTACTGCAGCTTAGATAGAGTTGCCATCTCATTCCTTTGACAGATAAAATGGTGCTTCAAGATAAAACAGGCTTGTACGTACACAGGTTCAAAAATGTAAACTATCTACAGATGTTGACTAACATGAAAGACAAATGTGTATAAATATTACTTTAATATTGACATTTTTCTTTTATTTTGTTAGGTAAATTTGAGTGTTTGTGTCCCGCAAACTGGAATGGACTTCAGTGTGAGAGCTTTGATACTGGCTTTAGAGGTGGAGTTGGAACAATGATGACCCCTGGTGTGAATTTTCAGAATCTTCCAGAGGAAGAGAAAGAAAAATGTGCTTTTAATAAATGTAGGCTTAAAGCTGGAGATCGTCATTGTGATGAAGACTGTAACAATTTCGCATGTAACTTTGATGGAGGAGACTGTTCTCTAGGTAATTTTACTCATGTAACTTTGATGGAGGATGGTGTTCTCTAGATAATTTTACTCATGTAACTTTGATGGAGGACACTGTTCTCTAGGTAATTTTACTCATGTAACATTGATGGAGGAGACTGTTGTCTAGGTAATTTTACTCAAGTAACTTTGATGGAGGACACCGTTCTCTAGGTAATTTTACTCATGTAACTTTGATGGAGGACACTGTTCTCTAGGTAATTTTACTCATGTAACTTTGATGGAGGACACTGTTCTCTAGGTAATTTTACTCATGTAACTTTGATGGAGGACACTGTTCTCTAGGTAATTTTACTCATGTTTCTACTTTAATTGGATTGAACTTTTATATAATATATAACATAATGTTTTGGGAAAACAAGGGTCCTATTGGTCCATCTTGGCTGTCACATCTTCCATGCTAAACTATTATAACTTATGAAAAAAAAATCTTCAAAAACCAGCCTTTATTATTCGTATAGTTATCAAGCTTTCTCTTAAACTCACTTAAATTTACTGCCTCCACAACATCTGAAGGCA